CACATCGGAATGCAATGCTCCCAGCACACAGTGGGTTAAGCCAGCCTTGGAGACGGGAGCTGGAGCCCACGGAGTCCTTTCTGACAATAAAGCTAATGAATCCCTCCTTGCCGTTTTCTCTTGCACAATAACATTTAATCATCATTTGCACAGCAGATGAGAAGTTTGAGGCAGATGCAATTCTGCGTGAGTGGCGATTTCTGTGTGTGGGCACCATTCCTGCTGTCCCCAACACACCTGACAATCTGGGGTTGGGATGGGCTCCTTCCCAGAGGGGCTGTGTGTGCACCCATGTGCCAGGGCTCTGACCCCACACCCATGTGGGAGGTGGGCTTTGGAGGCACACGTCTATCTGTGTGCATGCTTGGGTGTGGAGTCAGACACATGTGGCGTGGCTGTGGGTGAACTGTGGCGGGTCAGCCTGACGGCGCATGTGGACAGAGGTGGTGAGGTGCCTGAGGACACGTGGTGTGGAAGTGGCGGTGCACACGTGTAGGCAGGCAGGCATATGGGGGTATATATCATTGCACATGTATGTGTCCTTGGTGTTGATCTGAGGCTTACTGGAGGATGCCTCTAAGTGTTTAGATGCTTGTAAGTGATCATGTATATTATGTACACGCAGGCCTATGTGCTCGTATGTGCATACACATCTCTGGGCATCATGGAGTTGAATTAGCTCCATGCGTGCACCCATGTGCCAGGGCTGACAGTTCCTGAGGCTATACATGCTTTCCTGTGCATGCACAAGCATTATGAATGTGTGCATGGACCTATGAGTTCATATGCCCGGGTGCATCTGAGGGGACATACATTCCTATACCACATACCTGCCTGGGAGTGTCTGGGGGACACACATATGTTCATGAACATGTATGCATGAATGCCTGAATGGGGAAATGTGTTGTTTCCTGAAAGGGTATCAGTGAACACACACACACATGCAAGCAAGAGAACACAGCTATGGAAGGCACACGTGTCTTGTGTGCAAATGTGAGTGCACACATGAGAGTGTGTCTCTAGTACATGCATGGTGTGTGGGCACACGGCCACATCTGCAGACCTGCAGGAGTTATGCTTTGTGTGTGTGGCTGGGAGCATCTGTATGTCTGCACTGTGCACCCAGCCAGGAACGTGTCTGAAGGTACACACGTGCCTGCACTGTACGCTGGCATGGGTATGTGGGCATGCTTGTGCCCCCCTGTGCACTCACTGAAGCGTGAACCCTCTCTTGCTTCCAAGTGAGGGCTGACAGGGTTACATTTTCCAAAGGCTCAGCGGCCAGTGACAGAGCTGGTCTGAGCGCACTGGCTGGCAGGAGGTAAGTGGAGCTGCTGATTCGTGACCCAGGGGTGGGCGGTCATGACGGCCGGCTGACGGATGCAGCTCTCAGCAGCCCCCTATGACAGCAGCGGGCTCTCTGAGCTGCCTGAAGCAGGAGGTGGGAGGTTAGTTCTTGACCTGTGCACTTGGTGTTGGCTTCCCACTTCTCTGGTGCATGCCCACATCCACGTGCAGACGCACACGCGTTGGGACATCCAGAGACGCAGACCCGGGCTTGGACCGTGGCCGCGGCCCCACCTCCACCTTGCTGCCCACCTCTGCCATCTGTCTGAAATGCCTCCCCTTCTCACCAACTGCTTCCCTCTCCTCCCCACACCTCCAGAATCTCCACTCGGAATCCGAGCTGTCCTTGTTCTGCACAGAACCAATGCTGGGGTGTGTGTGAAATGGTCCAGGCCCTTGTAAGTTCTACAGCCCGATCTAGCCTCCCCCTGCCCAACTGTGAGCACTGGGTTCCTTGTCTGTAAAATGGAGCTAATGAGGTACCTGCTTAAAGTAAACAAGGCCACTTAAATAAAGCACTAAACACAGTACACGTTGAGTCCACCCTCCATGGGTTTCACCTGAGCTAGTAATTATGTACAGAGCTTAGAACAGGGTCTGGCATGCGGCAAGAGCCATGTAGGGCGCTGTCATCATCTTTTACCATCATTGTCATTGTCATTAATATCCCTGGTTCTAAAATTCTTAGCCAATTATACATCAATTCTTGCTCATGACCCTGAATGCTCCTTTATCCCATGCTGCTGATGGTGACAGAGATGATGACAATAAAAGGGATTTTTTTTTTCTTTTCGTTTTCCCTGTGCCTTGAAAGGGGGGCAGACATGGGAGAGGGAAGGCTCTTTGTTTTCTGAGCTCCCTGATAGAGTTGGGTGTGCCCAGTTAGAGCCTGGAGCTGGGGTGGCTGTGCTGTCTGCGTAATACAGGCAGGGGAAATGGAGCTTGTGGGGGAAGTTGGTGAGAATCAGTGAGGCCGATGGGCAAACACTGTGTCTGCCACGAGACCCTTGTCTGTGACCCCAGACCCTCAGAGAAGGGTACAAATCTCACAAAATACATGACGTGACAGGCACCTTGTGGAACCCAGAGGAGGGACTGGGCTCACGTGTTTCACTCCTGGGCTGGCTCAGAGCTCAGTGGAGTAGGCGGGTGAGGGTGCGGGAGCTGGAAGTAGAGGGGGTCGAGGGGGCATTCCCTAGCCCTCCAGCCCCACTCCTAGGATTATCAGAAGTCACAGGGAAACTTGAGGACTCCCACAGCCTGTAGAACATGGTGGTAAGTGGAGGAAAAGCTTTCCCAGGGCAAGAAGGTGACATCAGATACACCCAGGCCACATGTCCAGGACTTCTTGTGGGTCAGGCACCATACGTGCTACAGATGGTGTAGGTTCTGGGGGTCAGAGTGCCCCTGTTAAATCTTGGCATCTCCACTTCTTCGTTGTTTGATCTTGGGCAAGTTACTTAACCTCTCTGTGCCTCATTCTCTGACCAATAAAATGAGGGCTACTTCGCTGGGCTGATGAAGGATTAAAAGATGTAATTCACATGAAGGGCTTTGAGTAATGCCTGGCAGGTGGAAATGCTCAGTGCCAGGGGTTATTTCTGTATTTTATCCTCACTGCAACCCTATGGAGTAGGTGTTCTAGTGTGTGCACTTTATGGAGAAGAAAATAGGGGCACAGAGAGGGTAAAACATTTGTCCGAAGTCACACAGCTGGAAAACAGAAGAGCCAGAGGCTCAGAAGGTGAATCTGGATGAATAACATTTTTTATTTCTGGCAAGCTCTTTAACTCCGTGTGACCTCAAGAAAGTCATTCTCCACATATGGGGTTTGGACAAAATGTCCAAGGGTCTTTGTGACTCTGTCCCTCTGGATGTGCAACCTGTCTACAATCTTCTCGGCAGGGACAGAGTCTGTCAATGCAAGGGGCACATGTGGAAGGGACAGCGACTTGGAATCAGAGGTCTTGTGTTGTTTCAGCTCTGTCCTCACCAGCTGGGCGAACTTGAGCCGGTCACTTTACTTCTCTGGATTCGGATCTCAGTTATCCTCTCTACAATGGCGATGGCAGTACCAACCTGAGAACTGTTGGGATGCTGTAGGTGAGAACTGGGCACACAATTGGGTGAGGGAGAGGATCACGTCTTCTCAGGGGTCCGCAAGTTACCAGGGCTCCTACATGGATGAGAGTCCCAATGCCCCACATCCCTCAGTGGACTTTAGGAGACATGGTCAAGTTGACCAAAGCATCATTTCTTAGCCTGGCCTTCAAGGTCTTTTCCCAGCTGGCCTCTAGCCAGCCTTCCCCGCTCACATCTCACTATTCCTCCACCTGGTGGTCCAGCCCTGGGGACCACACGTCACTCCTGAAGCTGCCTCATGCTTCCTGCCACTCCCCCACCCCCAGTCTTTGAGGATGCTCTTCTCTCTGCCTGTAATGCTCTTGCTTGCTCGGCTATCTCATATATCTCAGACTCATTCTTCAAGAGCCAGTTGGAGGCACCTCCTCTGGGAACTATTCAATCTTTCTTCTGTGTTTCCAGCAACATTTTTTTCTGTTAATTCTGCTACAATGCTTACCCAATGCATTGTTACTGGATGCTTCTGGCCCCCGGCACCCCCCTCCCCAAGTTGGAAGTTACTGGAAGGAAGGAACTACTTATGCTCTGTGTATTAATGACTTTGCATGGGTTACTACTCTCTGAGCCTCAGTTTTCTCATCTGTGAACTAGGCTGACAGTATCTAACTTAGATGAGATAATACAGGTAGGGCACTCAGGACAGAATGACTATCTCTGGATCTGTCACAGTGGACCTTGGCAAATGTGGAGGGAATGAATGAACGCTCCCTGGGAGGGCAAAAGAAAAAGGCAAGTGAGCATTTATTGAGCACTTTCAATGTGGAAGGAAGGCACTGAGATCAGAACTTAACATTCATTATTTCTTTAAGTCTCTTAACAATCCTTTAAGGAAGGGATTATCATTAGCCTCATTTTACAGGAAACTGAGGCTCCAGCAGTTGAGGACCCTGATGAAGGATGCCTACATAGCAGGAGCTAGAATTCACAGCCAATCAATGTGGAATGAATCATTTGGGGACGAGGGTGTGAGGGCAAATTACCTGTATTTTATAATCAAACGGTTTTAGAACTGGAGGCTCTTAGAGATGACTTAGCCCTGGGGTCCATGGCTGGGGAAACTGCAGGGTCCCAGACCAAATAAATAAGGCCCTCAGGGACTTCCCTGTTAGTTTAGTGGGTTAAGACTCTTCGCTGCTGATTGAAAGGGAGTGGGTTTGATCCCTTGTCAGGGAACCAAGATCCCACATGCTGTGCAGTGTGGTCAAAAGGTAAAACGAAAATAAAATAAGGCCCTCATCACACCCAGTGGCTTTCAACTCCTCCATCTCCCAGCAACCCTTCCACTTGATCCAAGTCCGGGAGCTGCCCAGCTTGTCCTCTCTTGGCACCCCTGCCCAGTGTCCTGTTTCAGCGTCTCCTGAAACTCCAGTCGCTGGGAATGTCCCTACATCCCCCATCCTCCATTCAGAGCAGGAGCACCTTTTCTCTTTCCTTAGAAACATAGAGAAAGTGGGGAGAAAGCTCAGACCTGGGAGACAGACACGCCTGGCTTCTAATAACGACAAAAAGAATAATAGTATCAAAGGCTAACATTTATTGAACACCTACTATGTGCCAGACACTGTCCTGACCACTTGACACATACAAAACCTTTTTATCCTCAGGACTCTTCGAGGTAGGTTCTGCTAATTTGCCTCGTTTGACACAGGAGGAAACTGAGGCCCAGAGAAGGGAGGTAACCTGCCCGAGGCCAGGTAGCCAGTAAGGGCGTGGCTCCACCGCACACTGGCCAGGTGTCCTTGGACAGGTCCCAGCCACGGCTCTGGGGGGAGGCTTTCCCCATCTGTTACCTTTAGGGCTCCACCTCGCGGTTTCCATGACGACTAAGAAGGTCTCTGCACAGTCCCAGTACACAGTAGGCGCTTAGTAAATGAACAGCCCTTCTTTCCTCTTAACTCTGATGGGGGATACCTGGGGAAGGGGGGGCACTTCGGCAGCATTCTCTCTCCGGCTTCTCCCCCAAGCCAGGAGGGAGCCACGCCCCACCCCACACCCCTCTCTCTGTGTAACCCCCGAGCCAAGCGGCGCCCGTTCTCGGGGCAGTTTCCGTGATGTTGAACCTAATTCCCGCACCTCTGGGCGAAAGCTGCCCACTCCCTCGGGGAGGGATGCCGTCGGAGGGTCCGCTCTCGAGGCCCCACTCCTGGCCGCCCTGGGAGGGTGGGAGGTTTGGGAACGGGGGTGAAGCAGGGGACGGACGTGCTTTGTCCTGGGGGTGCAGTCGGGTCCCGGGCGGCAGGGAGGGCCCGGCTAGGAGGCCGGGGCCTCGTCCTCCGGGCGGTGGCCGGCGTAGAGGGCGGCCAGGGGCCGGAAGCGGGGGCCCCAGCCGCTGAGATAGGCGAAGTCCTGCTCGGAGCCCGACGAGCCGCCGCTGTGCAGCGAGCTGAGCGAGGCGGCCGGCGAGTCCGCGCCCTCGAAGGCGTAGGTCTGGAAGGCGTCGTAGGGCGGCACCGACGGGTCCCCGTCCGCCAGCGCCACTTTGCGGCTGATGAAGTCCCTGAACACCGAGAAGTCCGGCTCGGGGCTCGGCGGCCCCTGCGGCAGCGAGTGGCGCTCCGAGGGCAGGCGCGCCTGCGGGGGGCTCCCCGCGCTCCCGGCGGGGCCCTCGCCGCCGCCGCCGCCGCCGCCGCCCTTGAGCTCGCCGAAGTCGTAGAGGCTCCGCAGCGCCGACATGTCGTAGGCCTCGGTGTCCTGCTCGCCGCCGCCCTCGTCGTTGTACTTGATGACGTTGTCGCGCATGTCCTCGTCCTCGTCCGGGCTGAGCTGGCTCTTGTGGTGGCGCCTGAGGGTGAGGATCAGCAGCACCAGCACTGCCCGGGAGAGAGCAGTGGGGGCCCGTGAGGGCCCGCCCTTCTCCTGATGCCCAGCAGGACCGGTTCAGCCTAAAAGCTCACGCAGGCTTCCTAGATTTCTGTGCAAAAATACCTTTCTCACAGTCTGAACAGAGCTGGCTATCTGGAGAGGTCGTGAGCTGCCCATCTTGGGAGGTGTGCAAATCAAGGCTACACCCCCACTGGCGGTGGAGACAGAGAGCTGGTGTTAAGAGATTTCGTGTGTGTTGTAGGGCTGGACCCAACCTCTGAGGTCTTCATCCTCAACTCTATGAAGATACATCCCTGTGAGGTCTCTGGGGGCTGGTGCGTGGAAAGAGGGCAGCTGAGGTTTGAGGGAATGAAATGCCCTTGACCCTGACGTCTCTCTCACCCTTGTCCTTCTCTGTCCACTCCAGAGGCCCTGATCACCCTGTTAGCTCTTTGGGTATGTCCTGCAGGAGCCCTTCACCTCCTGCAGGCCAGGTTCAGCACCATCACCTCCAAGCTTCCCTGATGAGGGTTCCTCTCTATCGCCCTGCTTGGGTCCCTGGATCAGCAGCATCGGCACCTCCTGGGAACTTGTTAGAAATGCAGGTTCTTAGGTTGTGCCCTAGATCTACTGGATCTGTTTCAGTAAGGCTCTGAAGTGATGCCCAGGCAGCTCAGGTCTGAAAGCCACCGCTCCTTCATAGCACAGACCCTGCCATATGTCGGTCTCAGCTCACCGCAAATCCACACTCTGAACTACCCTGGAGGACCCTGGGCCATGTTCCCCTGGCAGGGTGCCTGGCACACAGTAAGCATGAGAACTATGCTTATTGAATGAATGACTGAATGAAGAAATAGATGGAGACCTGGGTGTTGCAAGGCTGAGAGAATGAATGAATTGTCCCTTCTTGGCTTTCTTCACCTGCCAGAAAGGACTCCGCATGCCCTTCCTCCTCCCACCTCACTGATAACTCGTTTTCAACCTTCTAAGCAAGCTTCTCTTCTCCTCTACTCTCTGACTTCTTTTATTTGAAAATAATTTTTTTTTTTTGGCTATGCCTTATGTGGGATCCTAGTTCCCTGACCAGTGATTGAACTCGCACCCCCTGCCTTGGAAGCACGGAGTCCCAACCACTGGACCACCAGGGGCAGGAAGTCCCCTCTCTGACTTCTTAACATCAGATGTCCCAGGACTCAGTCCTTGGTCCTTTATCCACATCCTCTTTCATGGCACTTTCCTTGTCTTGTGGCTTTAAATTCCAATTAGAGGCTGACAGCTCCCATACTGCAGCCTCCAGCCTGGACTTCTCCCTTGAAACCTAGATTGTACATCCAGTTTCCGCCCCAACAAGTCCCAGGGGGTGACCGGAAGAATCACAAACTTAACCTGTTGAAATCTGAAATAATCATCTTTCCTCCTTCCCACCCTCCATCTCCCCGCCTCAGCAACAGCAACCCCAACTTCCCAGTGACTTGAGGCTTTTCGCCTCTTTCATTTACTGATGAATCCCAGTGCCTAGGATAATTGAGCACATGGGGGTGGGGCTCATGGATGGATAAATTGGGAACTGAGGAGCAGACAGAGAACTAGATGGATGGATGGGTAGATGAATGGACAGAGACGCGCTGGGTATCATGTCAGGCACTGGATTTTTCTTGCTGCTCCAAACAGCTCGGGCTAGGCCAGGGGCCAGAACCAGCTGTGAGGGCCATGGGGCAGGCTGCTGGCTCACGACCTAACAAGGTGGCCCATGACAGGGAAGGAGGGGAGGGAACCCAGGGACAGGTCGGGAGGGAGGAAAGGTGTCAGGAGAGAAGTGGGAAAGATGGATGGACGACTTCCGGACCTGGAGGCCTGAGCTGCGGAGGGTGATGCCCGTGAGAGCAGATGGTGGGGAGCGTGGGCGGCGGGCGACAGATGTGCCAGGCCTGATCAGCGATTCCGCCCGTCACCTTTACAGCACTGATGTGCACTTTCTTCGTTTGTGGGCAATTAGGCAGAAATTTGTTTGCACTGCCTCGGAAAATGAAACCGCTGTAAAGTGCACCCTCTGGAAAAAGGGTTTCTGAGCCATGGGCTGAGGAGGGGAGAGAGCAGGGTGGGCGGAGGGAGCCTCCTAGCTAGGAGGGGCCTGCCCAGGGCCTCTGCAGGTCCCGGGGGTGAGCAGCGAGGTGTAGGATGCAGCTGAATCTCCCAGGGAACTGAGCAAACCTGGGATCTGCCATCTGGCCCTTCCTTGAGCTCCTCAAGCTTTGTGTGTTCTGTGAAGTCCAGAGGTCAGGGCTGAGGTGAAGCCCTTCTGCTTCGACAGCAAGAGGCGGCACTAGACCACTGTGGGTCTAGTTGAGCTCCTGAAACGACCTCTTCCTTGGGGACACTTTGGGGGTACAAGTGGCTGCTGGTGCAACTGATGCCAGAGTAGATTTTGCCCCCTCCCCGAATACCTTAAGATTTTAAGCTAGCTGCCCCAAGATTTTGCCCCCGGTTTAAATTCCTAGCAGTGAAAAAAAGTGAAAGTATTAGTTGCTCAGTCGTGTCTGACTCTTTGTGACCCTGTGGACTGTAGCCCATCAAGCTTCTCTATCCATGGGATTCTCCAGGCAAGAATACTGGAGTGGGTAGCCATTCCCTTCTCCAGGGGATCTTCCTGACCTAGGGATCCAACCCCGGTTTCCTGCATTGTAGCCAGATTCTTTACCTTCTGAGCCATGGGGGAAGCCCAGATTTCCCAGCAGGTGGGGTAGTTAAAGGAACAGAAAACACAGGCTGAAAAGACCTGATTTCAAGGAAGACCCAGTTAGAAGACTAGTTGGGTCCCCTTCTGCAAGCCACTTAACCTCTCCAAGCCTTAGTTTTGTCATCTAAAAAATGGGGTTGATACATCTGGCTGCATGGTTGTAAGGTTCACAAGAGCCCTTTTTACTAAAAGTCCTACATAGAGAATAAAATAGGACGATAGACATGAGAGAACTTTAAAACATAGGCTTGGCTTTTAAAAATTAGGGAAGACTTCGGGCCATATAGAGCCAGCTGAACTTAGTCTCCACTGGGTGCTGACCACTTCTGAAGCTTGCAAAGCAGCTGCTCGGTACTTAGGAGACTTCTTATAAGAGCTGCAGGTTAGAGCTTGGAGCTCAGGCAATTGGTTCAAGATGGAAGAGTAGAAAGACAAGCCCCCATCTCCTACTGCGAGAGTATCAAAATCACAGCTAGCTACTGAACAACCATCGAATGGAGGATGCTGAAACCTACTAAAAATATCCAAAGACAAAGGAGAAGCTGCGGCCAGACGGCAGGAGGGGCGCAGTCACGATAAAATCAAATCCCATACCTGCCAGATGGACACTCCGCAAACTGGAGAACCAAAGAAGTTCTCCGCCTGTTGTGAAGGCTCCGAGTCCCACGTCAGGCCTCCCAGCCTGGGGATCCCGGAAAGAGCTTGGAACTCCATCAAGCCAGCCCTTCCTTGTGCGGACAGGGAAAGTCAGACCCCCACAGGGGCCGCTGGGGAAGGAAATCCGGGACCTGAGGACCGGGGCCAATCAGGCAGGGGGGTGGGGCTGGCTCTTGGCCAACTCACCGACCAGGATGAGGACACAGACCAGGAGGGCGATGAGGGCGCCGGGGCTGAGGGAGGCGGCCATGACGAAGGCCGTGGTGTTGCAGGACTGGATGGCGCCCGAGCTGTCGCAGCCGCAGATGCGGATGGTCAGCGTCCCCGTGCTGCTCAGCGTGGGAGGCCCGCTGTCCACCACCAGGATGGGCAGGAAGAACACGTCCTGCTCCTGCCGATTGAAGCCCATGTGCTGCGTGTGCACCGCGGCCGTGTTGTCTGCTCCGGAGAAAGCGAGGGGCGAGTGACTCGGGGTCAGCCTTGCCTGTCCCAGCCCCTCCTGAGTCCACCTTGGGATGTGCCTCACTCTGCCCTCAGCTACCGCCTCCCAGCGGACCTGATCTCCCCCAATTCTGCCCCCCAGATCCCTGAAGGTTCTGTCCCCAGCCCTCGAGCCTTCGCTTCTGTCCTTAGCTGTTCTAAGTTTCTCTTCCCAGCTGTCTCAAAGTTTTGCTTTCAGCTATTTCAAGACTCTGTCCCCAGCTGTGCCAAGGTCCTGTCCCCTGTTATTCCAAGATTCCGTCCCCAGCTGGGCCAAGGTCCTGTCTCTGGCTATGTCAGTTTTTTTTTTTTTTTTTTGCCATGTGCCTCAACAGCCTTTTGTTGTTGTTGTTCCAGATTCTACACCAGCTGTCAAATGCATCCTGACCCTGGGGTCCTGTGGTCTTGGGGTTGTGGCTTCCTGAGCTCCGACAAGTTCTGGGTCATCAGAGAAGACTGGAAACTCCGACTGGCACCCGCCTTTGGCTGAGGGAGCTTGCTGTCAGGGGTCTCTTTAAGAGCTGAGCCTGGAGTGCCAGGGCCATGCCTTTGGGGCCTGATAAGGATGCCTCAGGGCACCAAGGTCTCCTCACCCGTCTCTTTCCTTTGGATGCTGGCGGCCGGAGGAGACAGTGAACTCACATGAGTCATACTCGTATTGTTGCCGGCTGGCGCCAGGAGTGCGGGTGGAGAATGTGTAGACGTGCCCACTTCCCCTGGCCTCCTGACTCCTCTGCACCTCCCCTGTATGGGCCAGGCCATCACGGACCACCCCCTCCCCCGCCATCATTTTGGTGGAAGTACTCAGAGCCCACCTGGCTGCTGGCTGTTGCCCCCACCCTCGACAGCCAGCCCCACAAAAGGGGCCCCACTTCCCGCGAGGGGCTCAGGCTTCCTTCCTGAGTCCTTCTCTCTGCGTTCACAGACTTCAGGCAGGTCTCCCTGAGCTCAGATTTTGGCAGCCTGGGTCCCTTCCCCAGCTTCGAGTCCCCAGTTAACTCAGCCTCTTCCGTGGCACCCATGCAGTGTGCCTGTCCTGACCTTCCCCATCACGGACATAAAGCAGGAACCAAGAGCCCTTGGAAGGGCCGACTTGTGGGCTTGGGCACCTCTGTGAAGTAGCCTGGAGATCCGGCTGAAACAAGACTGGTCATGGGTTGAAGGTCATGTGATGGCCACATAAGAGTTTGTTGTGTGATTCTACTTTTATACATATTGGAAATTTTTCATTAAAATGTTTCTAACTAAGGCTGAGTTGATCAGGTACTAGTTTGGGAAACTCATTTAGCTTTTCGGGACCTCGGTTTCCTCATCTGTAAACTGAGGAAAACAGCATCACGCAGGTGTGAGGATGAAATAGTATAGTTCATCCATGCCCTGTAGAATAGCTCCCCCAAAGCAGAAACTCTCCGTGAATGCTGGTTGTTAAATTTTTCGTGCTCCACCCCCACACACTGTACCCCGTGCCCACTCTCTGTTGAGGCTGCCCTGACTTTATTCACCAAGTTCCCGCTAGCTGGAACACCTTCTCCACCTTCTTGCCTGGGCAAATTCCTCATCCGTCATGCTCCAGCTAAATGTCACCTCCTTTCTGTGGCCGCCTTTCTCCGCTTCTCTGGGAAGGAAGGATTTATGGCTTCCCCCGCCCTGCTCTGACCATGCAGGTGCCATGCACACTTCTGTTACAGCACTTGTCATGCTGCCTTAAGGTGGCATTTGCCTGTCTCTTCCCTGGCAGTGAGCCAATCTGAAAGAATGATGCTTGAATGAGCCACATCTTCTAGGGTAACTGGTGGTCCTGGGTCAGCTCCTCAAGTTCTGGCTTTAGCCTCCTGTCAAAGGGCAGTCAAGCCAGCTGTGACAACATCTGCCTTCCCCTGAGGATGAAAGGCTGAAGAGCAAGATGAGGGGTAAAAGGAATAGCGTGGGACTCCTTTGCATTGACTGCATATTTTTTAACACATCAATGACTGGGTGGAAATGCTTAATCCTCACAAACATCAAGAGTTGTAACATTATTTTAAATACATGGAATTTGAGGTTCAGAGAGAAGGGACTTGTCTGAATTTATTCTGTGAATTGGTGGCATAGCTATCTTTTCCATCCACCCATGTTATCATCAATCCATCCATCCAACTATCCATCTTCCATTCATCCGTCCACCCATCCTCCATCCATCCATCCATCCATCCATCCATCCATCCATCTATCCTTCAACAATCCATTCATCTATCCCTCCATCGATGCATCCAATAAATCTTTATTGAGTACCTACTGTGCGCTTGGCACCATGCTAGTCATAGGAAGGAAATAATGAAGATCTAAATCAACCGTAATCTTGGATCTGGTCTTACATGATAATATGAGAGACAAATATTAATCAAATAAACCCACAATTTAGTCTACAATTGCAAACCATAAGGAGTGCTAAGAAGGAAAAGTATAGGAAGAGCATTTAACAGAGGATCTGACCAAGTCTGGGAGGTCAGGGAGAACTCTCTGGGTGAAAGTATGATATTATTGCTGAACCCTGAACAATGAGTTCTAGGATAGGGAATAGCCCATGCAAAGGTCCTGTGGTTGGAAGAGGCACAGGAACTCAAGGAGCTGAGAGCAGTCTTTTGTGGCTGGAGGGATAGGGTAAGTCAAGAAGAGGCTGGAGAGGGAGGCAGAGGCTCATTATAGAAAATCTTAAAGGCCATGGTAAGGAATTGCATTATTTTCCTAAAGGCAATAGGAAGCCACTGATTGGTGGGCAAAGAAGCAACCTAGTGACATATCATCCCTCCGTTCAACAACAAATAAGAATTAAACACCCTCTATAAGTCAGGATAAGCCTTCCTTGGTGGCTCAGTGGTAAAGAATCCACCTGCCAATGCAGGAGATGCTGGTTTGATCCCTGAGACAGGAAGATCCCCTGGAGAAGGAAATGGCAACCCAGGCCAGTATTCTTGCCTGCGAAATCCCATGGACAGAGGAGCCTGGTGGGCTACAGTCCATGGGGGTCACAAAAGAGTTGGACATGACTTAGCAACTAAACAACAAGAAGTCAGGATTAGTCGAGCCCCTGAGGATAGAGCAGTGAATAAGACAGACATAATCCCCGCCTTCTCGGAGCCTACCTTCTAAGCAAGGGTGACTCTAATCCAAAACACAATTGTGGATGCAGAAGACCAGTTAGGAAGCTGTTGTATGTTTTAGATGTGAAATAATAGTGGTCGTGGAGGCACTGAGAAGTAGACAGATTTGAAAAATGAGTGGCTGGCTCTGGCTCAGCCTCAAATTCCCAAGTAAGAACAGAGGAGGAGAAAGGGGATATTTGTTTCTCAGTGCTGCTGTCTTTGACCACGGGAGCCATATGTTTCTGGAGCTCTGGTCCCTGCTACTGTTTCACTCCATAAGAGGAAATCCCCGAGCCTCATTCCAATCCCTCTTCACTCCTCTCCTGGCAGCAGCTGGCTTCATCTGGGGAAGCCACTGGCCACCCTAGACCCTGACCCCACCCTTCTAGGCGGGATCTGTGCCCAGCACTGCATCCATCCATCTGGCCTGACATACATCAGTGTCAATCCCTGGCTGCAAAAGCAATATTTATAAATCACGTTTCCAAACTGGCTACAAATTTGTACAAAGAAACAGATGGGTTGGGGTAGCCGTTTGTCAACTGGGATATTTATATGGTGAGGAGGAGGGGGCTTGGCACACCGCAGGGAGGGGCTGGGGGGCTGGAAGGAGGAGTCCTTGCCTGCCTGTGCTGACCTCAGCACGCTGCTGCCGCCCTGGCTCCCGGGGCTCGGGCCAGGCGGGTCACACCGGATGGGAACCGTGGTGGTAAACCCAGCCCCCGACCCCTTGATCACAGAGGGGTAGTTGGGGTATAACCTCAAGCCCCTTGGGTTGGAAAGATTTGTGAACCTGGCGAGGTCAAGAGGTCAAGCCAGGGCTCCCTGTGTCTCCTATGCCCAGCTCAGGATCCCACAGCAATGATGAGCAGGCAGGACAGTACTGGTGGTGAAAGTTGTTAAAATACCGAACGACTACGGTTTAAATAGCCGTGACTCTGAGTCCCCCAATTCCTGCCCTGTTGCCTCAGCCTCCCCCTTAGGCACACCCCCAACTTTTCTTTTAAAAAAAATTAATGTATTTATTTTGGCTGTGCTTGGGTCTCTGCTGCCGTGCAGGCTTTTCTCTAGTTGCTGGGAGCGGGGGCTGCTCTCTAGTTGCAGTGGCTTCTCACCGCAGTGGCTTCTTTTATCGCAGAGCACGGGCTTCAGGGCTTCAGCAGCTGCCGCTCATGGGCACAACAGTCGTGGTTCCTGGGTTCTAGAACACAGGTTCGACAGTTGTGGTGCATGGACCCAGTGGCTCCACGGCATGTGGGATCCTTCTGGACCACGGATCAAACCCATGTCTCCTACCTTGGCAGGCAGATTCTTTACTGCTGAGCCACCAGCACACCCCCACTTCAACATAATCAAGTCATTGATGGGTTAAAGCCTGGCTCCGCAGAGGCCCCAGGGTCCTACTCCAGGTTTATGATCAGTGACCTGATTGGTTATCTGAGTTACACTGGTTGTTAAATCCATTTAGGACTCCTGGAAATACACATGGGTCTGGCTTCAGAGGCCACTGAGGGAAGGGATGTCAAAGTCTTGGGTCGCAGGGGCGGGGGTGAACCCAGACCTGTTCCAGGTTCAAAAGGAACTCACATAATCTGACACTTAGCACCTCTGTGACTACATGTCCTCCAGTCCTGTCACTCATCCACCCCAACTATGAAGGTCTGAACATCGTAAGCCTGTTCCTGCCTCAGGGCCTTTGCGCTCACTGCCTCTTGGACTTGCATCATTCTCTGTGCAGTTACCTGCATGGCTCACCTAACTTCCTTTAGATCCCTCCTCACTGTTGACTCCTTCACAGAGGCCTTCCTAAGCCACCTCATTTAAAGTGGCTTCTACTCTCGTGCTGTGCTATGCGCAGTTGTTTCAGTCATGTCTGACTCTTGACGACCCCATGGACTATAGCCCGCCAGGCTCCTCTGTCTATGGCGATTCTCTAGGCAAGAATACTGGAGTGGGTTGCCATTCCCTCCTCCAGGGGATCTTCCAGACCCAGAGATCAAACGTGGGTCTCCTGCACTGGCAGGCAGGTTCTTTACCACTAGCACTACCTGGGAAGCCCAGCTTCTACTCTTACCTGGCTTTATTTCCTCCTGTTTTGTCTAACACGTGCATGTGAATACCTGCTATGTGCCTGGCACCCAGGGTCCAGCACTGAATAGAACAAAGTTCAGACTTTGGTGAAGATTGCATTATTTCTCCCTGCTGGCCACTTACTACCCTCATCATATTATTTATCTGTTTAATTTCTGTTTTCCCTCCCTAGAATGTAAACTCCATGAAGGCAGGGATTTTGTCTCATGTGCTGCTACATTTTTAGAATCTAGAACAGTGCCTGGCATAAAGACACTTTTCAATAAATGTTCAATAAATAGTTGTTGAATGAAGGAGATGCCATGTTCTAGGTGCTGACAATACACTTTGGTAGACCACATTTCATTGGGGCCACCTAGCTGCTTGGCAGGCATTTTCAGCCCCATTTTACAGGTGGTGAAACTGGGGCAGACCTCAGGGCTGCACAGGAAGCCATGAACTGAGGTTGAGCTGAGACCCAGGTCCCTCACTCCCAGTGTGTTGATCCTACCCCCGAGTCTACGCCTTAAAGATTCAGACTTCAGCTTCCCGATGAAGGGGGACTGCAGGGGTGGGTTTCACAATGGGATCAGCTCAGGCTGGGCGGGGCAGTTTACTTTCAAGGTAGGGAGAAGGAAGCACATTGGAACTGACACACGTGCGGGTTTGAATCCCAGCCTCATGTTGACTCCCTATGTGACCCCGAGTGAGTCCTTATCCTCTTAAAGTCTCAGTTTCATCACCTGCAAAATGAGGGGAGGGGTAAGAAAACCGCCTCTCAAGTGGCCATGAGGGTGCAAAGAGAAACACGAGTGGGCTAAAGCACTTTTTTCCCAGCTGTGCTGTCTTCACTGAGGCACACTGGCTTTCTCTAGCTGCAGTGCGAAGGCTTCTGTTGTTGTGGCCCATGGGCTCAGTACTTGCAGCGCATGGGCTTAGCTGCCCCTCAGCATGTGGTATCTTGGATATCCGACCAGGGGCAGAAACTGTACCCCCTTAATCGGGAGGCAGGTTGTCAACCACTGGACAACCAGGGAGGTCCCAAGGGGTAAAGCACTTTTAAAACAAAAGGGTAGGTGTTGTGTGTGTGTGTGTGTGTGTGCGTGTGTGTGTGAGTTGTTCAGTTGTGTCCGACTCTTTGTGGCCCCATGGGCTGTAGCTCGCCAGGCTTCTCTGTCCATTGGATTCTCCAGGCAGGAATACTGGAGTGGGGTGCCATTCCTTTCTCCAGGGGATCTCCCTGACCCAAGATCAAACCCAGGTCTCCTGTATTTCAGGCAGATTCTTTACCGTCTGAGCCACCCAGGATCCCTGGCTATTCCAGTCTTCACTTAGACCAGGGGCTCCTCCCACCCTGGAGCTGCACCCCCTCCCATTCTTCATGTATTCCCTCTCTGTGTCTTTCTATCTACCCCTGTTACCCTGGAGCTGTGCCCCCTTCACTCCACCAACCCACCTCTTGCTTGTTCTTCAGTCTGGCCAGCAGGCTTGCTAAGGGCTCCAGTGTGGCGCAGATGTCGTGTGTGATCTCGGACCCACCCCTCTAGGGGCCTCTGTAACATGGGAAGGGGACAGGGAGGCTAGGCTCCTCCCTCCACGAATGCTAGGATTTGGCGGTCCTTCAGAGGTCACTTACCTTGGATGTCTAGCAGGGAGAAATGGGGGTTGCTGGGAGCTTCAGGCACCAGGCGGAAATAGAAGCGATGCCCACTCTGGGGCTCGTCTCTGTCCACCACGCTGATGGTCTGGATGAGCTGAAGGGTGAGGAGGGGGCAGGGGACTGAGGCGAGGCCGAGCCCATGCTGGGCCTGAACAAAGGTTACCCCAGCAACCGACTTGGTAGCAACCCCCAGCCCCCAGACCCTCAGTGGTACCTGGCCTGGCTTGGCATCCTCACACACGGCTGCCTCGTAGGGTGTGGCCAGCTCCGGGGGATTGTCGTTCACATCCAGGATTCGGATCCTCAGGGATGCCCGGGAGAGCTGGGCGTGATTGTCTGTAACAAGAGCACAAGTAACAAGAGGCTCCAAGTGTGAGATCTAGACAGCCCCCCATCTACTGCTAGGACACTAGGCAGTGGGGTCGCATTGAGAGATCTGTGTGTTGATCAAGCTGGACATCTGGCTAAATGGGTCACCATCACCATACCAGTCCTCACCACTACCAGTGTTGCTATCATCATCACCACCATTATCACTGTAACCATCACCATTACCATCACCATAATCACCAGTACCACCCCATCATCAACGCCATCACCATCTCCACCATCACTACTACTACCTTCACCATCACCATTACTAGTAGCACTGCCACCATTAGTTTTAGCTTTGCCACCTCTACCAGCATAACTACTGGTACCACCATCACCATCCTTCCCACTCTCACCATCACCAATGCCATCCCACCTCTGTCACTATCACCATTAGATGATCATCACCATCAGCATGAGAATTATCACCACCATCGTATCCACTAGTACTGCTGCCCTCATCTTCACCATCATCACAAACATTAAGGCCATCACTCACCACTCTTACCAACCCCAGCACCCCCCTGACACCACAATCACCAATATCACCACCACCATCATCTCCAGTCATTCACTTATCCACCATCTGGGTCACAGCCCCACCAACACTGCAATGACCCCGCCATCAGCACCCACATCACTACCACAGCACCACCACCCCCCACTCCCACCTCCAACCACACTACAATCAACACTGCCACCCTACCCCTTCACCTCAGCGTGCTCAGAATGCTCCTGCAGCATCCATACCCATCTTTTCAGGTATCCTTGCAGAAATCCGGTAGTTTGGTATAATTTCTATCCCCATATTGCAGAAGAGAAACAAAACATTGGAGAGTTTAAAGAATCGGTCAGCTGGCAACTGAAGTCCCAAACCTTTGCTCTTTTAAGACTCGATCCTGAGAGGGCAAGACAAGTCCACCGGAGGTGAGTCTTCACCTCCAAAACCATGCAGTCCCCACCCCTCCATCTGTGATGTCTTTGAGGTCAAGGCTTCCGTTGCATTAGTTCCTGGGTCCCCAGCATTGTGGCATGTGGTACAGACTAGATTCTAACAGATCTGCTGAGTGAATGAGGGAAACCTGGAAACACTGAGACAGACAGAGGCTTGCATTTCAGGCATGGCTCTGTCCCTGACACTGTGTTTGATCTCGGGTAAAACTTTCCCCTCTCTGACATCAGTTTTCACACCTGGAAAACAGCACAGTGATTAAGAGCAAGGACTCAGGAACCAAGTGGCTCCAATCTCAGCGGTGTCACTTAGCAGGTCTGTGATCCGTGCCAGGTCACTTGACCTCTCTGGGCCTTGATTTTCTTACCTTCACCAAAATGGGTCTGTTAGGAGAGAGTCGGTTAGGCGGACAGATTGAGTCAATATCTGCAAAGCACTTAAAGCTGTATATATAACACACAAGTGTTACATAAGGACTTGTTAAATAAACAGGCATCCTTGAAGGATCCTCTCAGCAGTGACTCAGTGACTCAGGGCTCTGGGACACCCCATCCCCTCCTGTCCTTTCTGAGAAGCACCCTGATCGTTGGCCCTTTATAGCCCCCAGACCTCTGAGTGCTCAGGGGTGCCGAGTCCTTGGCTATCTTAGCCATGAGTTCATTACTGACATGTTCCAGCCAACAGGGCAATCAAGGACAGGCAGCCAGGAACCCCATGATTTTTTGGGGGGGATGAGGGGGGTGGTCGACTACTCCTTTCTGTGAACTCAAGGGCCCCATCGGATGCCGACTGCAGCTGCTCCTGTGTTGATAAAGACAGAAATGGAGATTGGGAGGCAGGTGTGGCCACCGGGTCAGGGAAAGGAAGGGTGGGGGGTGGGGGGGGCGTCCTTAATTAACTCAAACCCCGACTCCTCTCTGGAGCTCCCCTTAGCCAGGGGTGCCTTATCTTCTCAGCTCACCCAGATCTGCCGCTTCGGCGATTAGAGGGGGCTTTTCCGGGGGCGAGAGATAGGAGTCGTGACTGGGAATGCCGGGTGAGCTGTTATTTTTAAGAGCGTTTTGCCGGAGAACAGCCAGCCAGAGGGTGCTTTGTGGGGAGAGGAGGAGGGGAGGAGAGGAGGGTGAGGTCCATCGCCAGGAATGGGCACCTCTCTCCCCACTGAGGCAGAGGGAGGGTAGGGGCTGAGAGCGCATCTTCCCCTTCAATGGGGGGCGGTTTAGGGCTGGAGGCAGAGGTAGGGTCCTGTGAGGCCATGCAGAAGGGGTGCTCGAAGTCAGATAAGATCCTCAGTGGGCAGACTGGAGGCTTGGGTCCATGGCTGGTGAGCACCCATTATTGTATCATTCCTCTGGGTTCTCCTGGGCCTCTCCCATCTCTTCATTGAGCTGTAATTCTATCTCGATTATCTCAATTTATTGAGATGTAATTGACATATATAACACTGTATAAGTTTAAGGCGTAAAATGCAGTGATTCAATACAGATAGATATTGTGAAATGCTAGTCAAAAAAGATTAGTTAGTACAGCCTTACTTTACAAAGCTACCGTATCGTTGTTGTCCTAGCTCCTCATTTCAAATGTTACAGGTCACTTCTTGGGAAAGTCCTGAGTCCTTTGGCAAGAGAGAGCATCTCAGATCTGAGAGGCTGGGCAGCCAAGAGGTGTCTCTGTGTTGCCAAAGTTGCCACCTACATAGCTTATCTCAGAGACCCCCTGAATTGGAGGCTGGCCTGGAACCCCAGAGCTCGTGGGCCAACCCGAAGGCAGCACTCCCATGCTCTCGACATCATGGCAGTCTCCAGCCTGGCTCACTAGAATCACTTGGGAAGGGACTTTCTTGGTGGTCCAGTGGTTAAGAATCCATCTTGAAATGTAGGGGACGTGGGTTCAATCCCTGGTCAGGGAGCTAAGAGCCGACATGCCATGGAGAAACTAAGCCTCCCTGCCTCAGAGAGTCTGTGCACCATACTATAGAGTCCATGCACCACGGTGAAAGACTGCATGATGCAACGAACTTCCCATGAGTTGCAGCTTAGACCTGATGCAGCCAAATAAATACAAATTTTTTTTTTTTAAATCCTGCTTTAAAATGAACTGATGCCCAAGACTTGGTCATTGATTTTTTTTTTTTAATAGCTCCAGGTGAATCTATATAATATGTATCCATAGCAAGTTTTGCAAACTCTGGGGGCAGGGGCGACTGGCAGGTGCTGGGGGAGGTCCAACTGGACATCTTGCCTCTGATTGGCTTCTCCAAACCCCTATGGATCACAGCATCATTTGTAATAATTGATAATAATGCATAATTTTACCACCTTAAATGTTTCTGGTATAACACAAGAAATCCATCAATAATTTCCTCTTCATGCAGAAAGTTTCAATTTATAACAAACTTTCTTATGTTTCATTGGATCTTCAAAACAACTCATAAAGTAGGTCTTAATTAAACCTGTTAAAAAATTTTTTTTTTGGCCGTGCCGTGCAACTTGCAGGATCTTAGTTCCCTGACCAGGGATCGAACTCAGGTGCAGGCAGTAAAAGTGCCAAGTCCTAACCAGTGAACTGCCAGAGAATTCCCTAGACCTATTTTGCAGATGGAGAAACTGAGGCCCAGAAAGGGGTAAGACTTTGTCCAAAGCCACAGGAGAGTCAGTGGCAGAACTGGCGTTGGGTCCTAGGCCTCTGGACTCTGAGGCCAGTGCCTGGTCCAGATGCAATGCCAGTGGGCCCTTCCGCTGCCTGAATATTTGTCCATCCAGATGCAGCTACTGCTCGGACGGAGGCCCAGGCTGACCTCGCCCCACACCCAGCGGTAGGCGCCCTCTCCCAGGGCTGGATCCCCCAGGGGTCCCACCCACCCTCCCCTGGCATCTCAGTTCAGCTGACTGACATGCAAATTAGTTTAATTATTTCTTCTTCTAAAATAAATTATATTTTGCAGTAGCTGCAATATGTTGTGTCAGGCAAAATTACATTCAATATTTTTAAACTAATTGATGCAGCCTTGAGGAAGGCTGATTGACAGCCCAGAGCTGAGCAGGCCTGCAGTCTTAACCGATTCCTAAATTAAAATTAAACGTGCTTCGGCTGGGTGCTTCCTCTCTGAGCTGGCTCACCATTAATCCGAGGAGGTGGCAGGTGGACCCCCGGGGGGCCAAGGGGCTGAGAAGCGTGGGCCACTCTGTGGGTGCCTTGGAAAGAGAGCAGGCTTGGGCAGGAGAGCCAGTGTGCAGTATTGGCAGGCCCCTTAGCTTCTCTGGGTCTCAGAGTCCCTTCTGTATAACAGATGGGGGACCGGACTGGGCAATTTGAAACTGAGACTTCTGTTTTTTGCTGACTATTACAGTTTGAGCGTCTCCTTTGTACCAAGGACACAATACTGAACAAGACCAACACTGCCTCTTGGTCTATGGCAGGGACAGACAGCATTCCAGACTGTGATAAGAATTGAGAGAAAAAAAGTCCAGGGCTGTGAGAGGAGGAGGCAGGGGCTCCTACCCTGGTGGGACACAGGGACGTTTACCCTGAAGTAGGGGACGGTGGTGCCAGTGGTAAAGAACCTGCCTGCCAACGCAAGAGATGTAAGAGATGCAGGTTCGATCCCTGGGTTGCGAAGATCCCCTGGAGGAGGGCATGCCAACCCACTCCAGTATTCTTGCCTGCAGAAGCCCATGGACAGAGGAGCCTGGTGGGCTAAAGACCATAGGGTTGCAAAGAGTCAGACACGACTGAAGCTACTTAGCACTTAGCAGGGGACCTTTAAGCTGAGATCCAACTAGGAAGTGACCAGGTGAAGGGGATGGGAAGAAAGAGTTCTCCAGGCAGTAGTAACAGCATGTGCAAAGGTCCTGGGGTGGGAGGGGAGTATGTAGATAGTAAAACTCTGGATTCCTTCTAAGGAAGATCCCATCCCCTGGCCGTTCCTAATATAGTGTCTGGACCAAACTGGACTTGGAGGGCTGTAGGCCACTAGGAAAGGCAGAGGGGGTAAGGCCTGGCCTGGTGTCCC